TCTCACCTCTAGTTACCATATAATTTGTTTCAAATTTCTTCCAAATCACATTCCAGACACTTATTTTTGAAATATCTTCTGAAATCCTGAAATCCCTGCCATGTCTTCATTTTCGTTTTTCCCCTAGAACACTAATGCTGGAGAGGTGACAAAGAAGATATTCAACAAATTTGTCAACTGCATTCAACAAAGGTACTCAATAAATGAATAGATGGGAGCAGTGGAGAAGCAGGACAGAGGGACTAGAAAACAATCAGGGGGCCCAGCACTGTGCCGCAGCGGGTAAAGTCGCTGCCTGCGGTGCCGAGATCCCATATGGATGCTGATTCATGTCCTGGCTGCTCCACTTCCGACCCAGCTCTCTGCTATGGCCTGGGAAAGCAGCAGAAGATGGCCCAAGTCCTTGGGCCCCTGCACCTGCGTGGGAGACCTGGAAGAAGCTTCTGGTCCTGGCTTGGGATCAGTCCAGCTCCAGCCCCTGTGGCCATTTGGGGAGTAAACCAGCAGATGGAAGATCTCTGTCTTTGCCTCTCTGTAACTCTTTCAAATAAATAAATATATCTTTTTTAAAAAACTCAATGAACTGTACCTTAAAATGTTTTTGTTTCACTGCATATAAATTACATTCCAAATTTATTTTTAAAGTTACTGAGTGGGGCTGAAGTAGGCAGGCATACAGGTTAAAACTGATTAGGTCTGTGAGCTGGAAGATCACGCCTTTGCCATGTCCCTGTGTGATCTCATGCCCCTACCTGGCCACACTTGAGTGCCCACCAGCCAATCAGGTTAATTAACCACTCCCCTTTGGAAGTGGGTTAAAAGCCTGGGACACAGTGTGTCCCCCGCTCTCTTTTTTGCCCTGGTTCTTGCCAGGAGGGGGCTTGCTGTAGCCCTGCGCCTCCAGGGCTGTGGCCTTCAGGCCACCAGCCCTAGGCTTCCTGGCCTAGAATCTCCTCCACGTGGCTGGTTCCTGGTGCTCAGTATGAACCCAGATTTACCTCTCTTAAATAAAGCTTTCACTCTCCTATGCAACTTTCTCACTAAATAAAAGCCTAAAATGTACCATGCTGCTTTGTTTATCTGTGCCGGTATTTAGTATTATTCTCTAAATATTAGGCAAGAACCCTCTTGGGCTTATTAATATTTGAGATTTATTAACAAGCATATGGTGATATCACATGGCACCGCAAATTCCAGTAACATATGTGGCATCCCAGATGGCATTTCTGGGAAACTTTAAGGGGCCACATTTTCGTATAGATTTTAGGGGGTCATTTCCGATATCAGGGCCAGAGCTCTGGCGTAGTGGGTAAAGCCACTGCCTGCAGTGCCGGCATCCCATATGGGCACTGGTTCAAGTCCTGGCTGCTCCATTTCCGATCCAGCACCCTGCTATGGCCTGGAAAAGCAGTAGAAAATGGCCCAAGTGCTTGGGCTCCTGCACCTATGTGGGAGACCTGGAAGAAGCTCCTGGCTTCAGATTGGTGCAGCTCTGGCTGATGCAGCCATCTGGGGAGTGAACCAGAGGATGGAAGACCTCTCTTTCTCTGTGACTCTTTCAAATAAATAAATCTTAAAAAAAAAAAAAAATCAGGATACAAACTGAGATTCTAGCTGGCAGGAGAGAAAATAGTTCTGAGTGGTTCTACATATATGGACAGGTCACCTCCTGCTTACAACCCCTGGCTGACTTCTACAAGGTCTGTGAGGCACCGGGCCAATCTGCATCCCTCCCTTTCCAGCCTTGCAGTAGCCTGACCATTCTCTCGAGCTCCAGCTGTGCTGTGCTACTGCCTCCCAGGTCTCTGTGGCTGTGCTGCCCTTCCTCCTCACCAGGCTCACTGCTGCTGGTTACTCAGACCTCAGAGGTCCAGGAACCTCCCCTCACTCCCTGCCCATTTCAGCCTCCCAAGCACCATCAATCTCCCTGTCACATTTAGCACCACTGGAACTTTACAGATTCATAGACCCACATGACTCCTGGCCAAGCTGGAAAGTCACATGTCTGCAGAAACTGGAAGGTTTGCTCCATGCCACCCCAGAGGCACGGCAGTCCATCGAGGAATTGGGCACAGGTAAACCTCACAGCGCCTGTCCACATCCACTCTGCTTCCCTTTCCCTGGTGTAGCAACACAGCTGAATGCTAAACACTTCCCGTAGCCCTCAAAAGATTCAGTACACATTTAAATGTGAATACATAAACCCCTAAACCCCAGGGCAGTGCCGGACCTTCACGGTGCACTGGGAATATTCTGAGGATTGAGCTACTCACGCAAGAGCTGAATGGAGATCCAGCTGAGCAGGAGGCTCGTCAGCACCGGCTGTCTGTGTATTTATCTTAGCCACTTTGGGACCTGAGGATTTCACTTGTTTTAAAAAGGCTTTCCTGGACTCTGCCCTTCCTTCACCTCTCCCCACACTCAGTCCTTTTGTCTGACCCACCTTTGGGTGGATCCTTCTCATCTCCACCACAATAACTTGTTTTGTTTTCCTTGACCATAGCATTTGCCCTTGTTCGGGGCTTAAAGTTAGAAAAAGGGAAGCCACTCCAAGACTGTTTTTAATCTATTACTTTCAAAACTTTTCCTTAACTAAGTTCCTTATTTTGGTACTTTTTTGGCTTTTGGGTTGAATGAAACATTTTCTGCCAATTTATAGCATACTGTTGAATTTCATTTTTTACATTAATTAACATTTTACTGGAGTTATTTTCTACCTTTAGAAGCTCTGCTGGTAGCATTCTAGTAAGGGTACTGTGCTGGGTTCACATTGCTGGATTCAAAAGAATCCAGTTTACAATCCCACATACAATTCATGGTCAATTGGTTCTCTCAAGGGCGTAGGGTAGGTGCCACAACAGTTAGTCCATAAAGCAAATTCAAGCAGAAGTACTAAAGAAGCTTTATCTATCAGATCAGCGAGAAATTCTTATGTAAAGAACCAATTAAATGGAATACTTGGGGCCTGCCTGCATTGTGGCTAAGGGCATTCCATTCAGGTGCAGGCTGGAGTCCCAGCTGCTCCACTTCCAATCCAGCTCCCTGCTAATGGCCAGGGAAAAGGCATTGGAAGATGGCCCAAGTGTTTGGGCCTTTGCCACTTATGGAGATCTGGATGAAGCGCCTGGCTTTAGCCTGGCCCACCCCTGGCCTTTGATGCCATATATGGGAGTGAACGAGTAGAAGGAAGATTCTTCTGATTTCCAAAAAAAATTTGAAGTCTTTAAAAAAAAGAGGAATACCCAAATATAAGGAAGGAGTAAAATTAATCTACACCTATAATTGCTTGTATTTACCTTGAAAAAAAAAAATTCTGGAAGGACATGCAAGAACTTTTGTTGGAGAGTGGGAAATTGATAAATATGAAATGATAGAGGAGGGGGAAGAGATCCCATTTTTTTGCTGGTTAACTCCTCAAATACCAATAACAGCTGGGACAAGAGCAGGCTGAGGCTGGAGTGGGGAAATTCAGTCCAAGTCCAAGTCTCCCACACGGGTGGCAGGGACCCATCAGCTACTGCCTCCCAGGGTATGCAAGAGCAGGAAGCTGGAACTGGAGAGCAGGGATTCAAACCCAGGCACTCTGATATGGGATGCAGGTGTCCCAAGAGGCACTTTAACCACTAGGTCAAATGCCTGCCCCCATTTTAGGATTTTGACTCATGTGACTAATATTTAAAATACTGAATATTAAATAGTATGTGCTACTTAAAATGCTTTTTAGTCCAATGTAGTAAAAACCAGCAAGTGGGGAACATCTTAGGGTAACATCAAGCTAGTTCTATGGGGGGAAAATTGTATTCCCCATTCAGGTGGCTCTTCAACCACTGGGAGTAAGCCTTGCTTATAGCAATGTCTTCATGTACCCCAAATCCACTTTCCCTTTGGGTGCCTAAAGTATAATTCGAGTGTCCCTGAGAAATCTCAGAGGATCTGACAGGTTCTTATCTATCCTCCTCAGTCCCATTTTCTTCACATACTCCCATCTGTGTAATACTCTGAACAGATTAAATGCAAAAGATGAAAATTCAGCTAGCTACCTCCTGTCAAGAAATTGACAAGGATATAAAGCAGGTAGAATCAAGAAGGGCCCTGGCTCTTGCATACTGTTGTTTTGGAGACTGTTTTTCCTTTTATGTGTTGTACTAGAATTAACCTATTAGAGTTGCTGCGTTTAAACGCGAGTCAGGTAACTTCCAGAGAGCATCACATCTCCCGTAGGTGTGTGGTTCAGTACTGTAGGTACCGTCTGGTCCAAGACCTTTGATTCTAGCAAAGTGTGTCCTTGGACCTCTTCTGCTTTAAGGGTTTCAATGAAGGGTTAAAGAGCCATACCTCCCGCAGTGCTGCCCAGTTATCTACATTTATTTCCAATCCACCAATCACAATGTCAAGGAACTATTATTTAAAACTTTATTCTTCATAAGCAACTTTGGAATAAGATTTATGCCAGCACTCAGGGCAAAGGCAAAGACCCCAAACAGCTCGTTTCTCAATTAGGCAGGAGCAGGGTTTAAGCCATGCCTGAGTCACTGCAGCTCTGATCACAACCTAATCTCTACATCCTGGTCCCACACTGGCTGGAAGCTGGCCTCACTTCTTCCAAGAGCCTAGTTCGAGAGCACCCATGGCTTCCTCAAGTTTGAGCATCCCTGCGCCAGAAAGAGCAACAACAGCAGGGTGAGTATGGGGGGGCGGGGAGGGTGAACAGCTGGGGTTCGTTTCTGGGGCTCCTGGGCCTGGCGCTCTGGGCCTGAGATTCTCCGGAATCTCGGAACGTGGGACCACCAGGCCCATTCCAACATTCTCCGAAATGCCGGAAGAGGGAGGACGTTAGATAACCTAGCCAAGGGACCAGCCTCCTCCCCAAGGCGTCTGAGGACGGCCCAAGCGCCAACGAGGCTGGGTACTGGTGGCGGTGGGGAGGGGACAGGGAGAACCTAGGAACGAAGCCACCCCCGTGACATCCGCGGGAGCACCAGAGTCACCGAGTGTCTCACCACGCTCCTGCCGCTGGCGGTGCCACTCAGCCATGGACTGCAGCATCCACTTGGTCCGGAGCTTGTACATGTAGGAGCCGTAAACCACCACTTCGGTGAGGTCCGAAGATTCCAGAGCCTTCAGCTCGAGCATGGCCTTGCTCACTTGCTCAATGTAAGGGATTCGAGAACCGTCTGGGCCTGCAGGGGGAAGGAGATGAGGCCTCGGACCACCTAGACCGAACCACCCAGGCGCGGATGGGGCAGCCGGCACCAGACTGAGCACACTCACCAAACATGGCTTCCAGCAGCCGCGTCTGTACCTGCAGCACCTCGGGATCTTTCAGGTCTTCCGGAACCTTCACCCACGGAGGAATGTCCTTGCGTTTGGGGAGCGTTCCCATCTTGCCACTCCGGGTCCGACAGCAGGCCTAGCAACACCGCCCAGAGCCTCCACGCACGGGAAGTCTTGCGCCCCTGCGGCGCCGCCCACACAGGCCCCGCCCCCGGCCTGGGGCCCAATCCCACGCCCCCCGGCGCTGCGGAGGTCCGGCCCCTTTGTGTCCCGTGGATGACCTTCTCCACCGCCTCGGGTGACCTCGGGAGACTCCGCCCCTCGGCCCAGCTGTAGTTAACCTGGGTTTTCCACCTGCCCAAGGGCTTCTGGCGGGGGTGGGGGTGATGTCGACTCTTCCCAATTGGTTGGGCCTGAAGCCTAGAAAGCAGGAATCCAGGCTTGAGCGATCGAGGACTGCTCTGGAACTGCTGAATGGGGTCCTCCTGTCCTGCACGTTCCAAAGGAGGGCTGTCTGGCCTTGGAGCCGCAGGGCGGGATCCCTGGCCTTCCAGGAACTCGGGGCGGCAGCAGGGGGTGGGGGGGGTGGGGGGTGGGGGGAGGTTCCAGCCAGCCAGCCGTTTAACAAAGACTTAACCGGTGGCGGGTGCTCTGGATTAGTAGGCTAAGCCTCCGCCTGTGGCACCGGTATCCCATATGGGTACCCGTTCGAGTCCCAGCTGCTCCTCTTCTGATCCACCATCCCTGCTGATGGCCTGGGAAAGCGATGGAGGATAGCCAAGTCCTTGGGCCCCTGCGCCCACGTGGGAGACCCAGAAGAAGCTCCTGGCTCCCAGCTTCAAATTGGCCTGGCTCAGGTCTTGGGGAGTGAACCAGCGGGTGGAAGACCTGTGTCTCTGTAACTCTGCCGCTCAAATAAAAACAAATAACAAACAAAAAAAAAGCAAACCCAAAATTCAGAAATCCATTATCTTACTTGAAGAGCTAGGGTTCAGAAGTGCCTCTGCGTTCGTGTCCCCCACCCCCAAGCCTCTGGTCCAGGAGCTTTTGAATCCACCTTGGTTATCCATCCCACGTGCACCCTGCTGACCACTGCAGTCCAAACCGGTCCACGCTTCATTCCACCTCTAAACAAACTTTTGAAACGATGCAGATGCACCAGATTCACGCAATGAGGGTGTGATTCTGATGTTTTACGGCTGGAGATGAAGCTGGCTTCTCCAGGGCCAAGTGCTGATACCATCTATCTTTCGCTCAGCTGAATATTGTCACAGCGTCTTCCGCAAACCTGCTAAAGTCAATGAGAAAACTGTGGGGTCTTTTACAAACGCCAGACTAATCAACTTAGAAAAAATCATCAGTGGCTACAACTATCAGATGAAGGCTATTGAGGAACTATAATTTCACAAAGCCTGGAAGTCCTAGCCCACAGCAGATGTGAATTACAAAGGAGATATTGATCCTTAAAGACGTCTGAAGACCAAAGTTAGCATCACTAATGTTGGGACAAATGGACTGCTAATATGTTGAAATCATAAAAGCCAAAAAAAAATGGAGCACTATTTTATTAATAAAGAGATAACTAAATGTGCATGAGTCAAGTAATCCTGAATCAGAGAAAAAGAACATTTCAGAACAATGGAGGAAATTTCAGTATGAACTATGTTGCAAAGTAGTGTTTTATTGTTGTTTAGAAACTTCTTGAGCCGGATAACTATCACAATGATATAAGAGTCCTTCTTAGGAGAAATATACGAAAAATAGAGTTGTATTAGTTGAAATTTACTTACAAATAAGTTCTCTCTCTCTCTCTCACACACACACACACAACTATGTATGTCCATATAGAAAAAACCATATGCCAAATGTCAACTGTTGTTTTTTGTGTGAAGGACAAAAGATTCTTATTATATTCATGCAATGTTTCTGTACTTTTGGGATTTTTTTTTCCCCAACAGATGCTATTTTTAATGGCCATTTGGCAAGAAGCCATAGCTATTAATAAGAGAAACAGTAGACATTTTAAACAAAGCTACAATACTTTTTTTAAACATCAAAAATGTTGCATTGATTTATAATAGCATTTAAATATCATTTCTATTGTTCTTCAGGGCTCTGACTGGCTTTGCTCTTGGAGCATCTACATGTGACATGAACAATTTATGTCCTTAACCTCCACACCCATTTGTTTCTTTCTTTCCTTTTTTTTTTTTTTTTTTTTTGACAGGCAGAGTTAGACAGTGAGAGATAAGAGACAGAAAGAAAGGTCTTCCTTCTATCGGTTCACCCCTCAACTGGCTGCTACAGCCGGTGTGCTGTGCCAATCCCGAAGCCAGGAGCCAGGTGCTTCTCCTGGTCTCCCAGGCACTTGGGCCATCCTCCACTGCCTTCCTGGGCCACAGCAGAGAGCTGGACTGGAAGAGGAGTAACTGGATCAGAATCCGGTGCCCCAACCGGGACTAGAACCCTGGGCACCGGTGCTGCCGGCAGAGGATTAGCCTAGTGAGCTGTGGTGCCGGCCACCCACTTGTTTCGTCAACCTCTTCCTCTTCACTCTCCTCTTGTACAGTTGGGGTCTGTGTGGAATCTTCTTCCTCCAGCCCTGTTACTGCTTCATCCCAGTCAGATTCTGTCGCAGAATCTGTCACAGCCTGGGGCTGGGACAACTCCTGCTCTCAGCGAGGACAGCTTCTGTGGTCTCACCCAGCCTATGTGCAGGGGGATGTGTAGCCAAAATAGTGGCAGAAAGAGAGAGTGAAGGTATGCCCCACATCTGGTACCATGTAATTAATTTTTTTTGAGATTTATTAAGGATTTATTTATTTATTTATTTATTTGAAAGGCAGAGTTACAGAGAGGCAGAGAGAGAGAGAGAGAGAGAGAGATCTTCCATTTGCTGCTTCACTCCCCAAATGACTGCAATGGCTGGAGCTGCGCTGATCCAAAACCAGGAGTCAGGAGCTTCCTCTAGGTCTGTCATGGGGTGCAGGGATCCAAGGACTTCGGCCATCTTTTACTGCTTTCCCAGGCCATAGCAGAGAGTTGGATTGGAAGTGGAGCAGCCAGGACTTGAACCACTAAGCCACAGTGCCAGCCCCAAGCTAGATGTATTTAAAAGAAAGATTTATTGAAGTCAGAGACCTCCAGCCAGAGTGACCTGGAGGGGGGCTCCAAGAGAGGAAAAACCCCCATGTAATTCTTTTAAGAAAGGGAGAAGATGAAGTGGGACAGTGTTGGCTGATAGCTAATAAACAGAAATATTTGTGGGGGAAAATGTAACCCAACTCCACAGCAAGGACTTCCCTCACCCCCCTCTCAATCATCTCCCTCTCCCATTTCTCGCTGACAGTTCAATATGCTCAGAATATTTGATTAATTTATTTATTTCACAGAGAGCTCCCATCTGCTGGTTCATGTCTCAAATGCATAGAGGTCCTGGCTGGGCCATAGTTGGAAGACAGGCACTCCACCTGGGTTTCTGATGCAGGTGGCAGGGGCCCAACAATGGAGCCATCACCACTGCCTACCTGTGTCTGCATCAGCAGAGTCCCAGAGTCAGGAACTCCAACCTAGGTCCTCAGACTTGGGAAGCTGACCTCTCCACGTGCATGGCCACCACCAGGCAAAGGCTGTCCCCACAGAACTTTGAAGAGCACACAGAGGGACTGTGGAATTGCCTCCAGCTTTTTAAAGTAATTAATTTATTTTTAAAGATTTAAAAAAAAGATTTATTTATTTATTTGAAAGAGTTACACAGAGAGAGAAGGCGAGCAGAGAGAGAGAGAGAGAGAGGTCTTCCATCCGCTGGTTCATTCCCCAATTGGCCACAACGGCCGGAGCTGTGCCGATCTGAAGCCAGGAGCAAGGAGCTTCTTCCAGGTCTCTCATGTGGTGCAGGGGTCCGGGGACTTGGGCCATCTTCCACTGCTTTCCCAGGCCATAGCAGAGAGCTGGATCGGAAATGGAGCAGCCAGGACTTGAACTGGTGCCCACAAGGGATGCCAGCACTTTACCTGCTATGCCAAAGCGCCAGCCCCTGAAATTATTTGTGTCTGTATGTGATTTGGCTCTGGTGGTCTATGTTGACATTGACCATGTTCTGGACCGGCACCGTGGCTCACTAGGCTAATCCTCCGCCTTGCAGAGCCGGCACACCGGGTTCTAGTCCCGGTCGGGGTGCTGGATTCTGTCCCGGTTGCCCCTCTTCCAGGCCAGCTCTCTGCTGTGGCCAGGGAGTGCAGTGGAGGATGGCCCAAGTCCTTGGGCCCTGCACCCCTGGGAGACCAGGATAAGCACCTGGCTCCTGCCATCAGATCAGCGCGGTGCACTGGCCGCAGTGCACCAGCCGCAGCAGCCATTGGAGGGTGAACCAACGGCAAAGGAAGACCTTTCTCTCTGTCTCTCTCTCTCAATGTCCACTCTGCCTGTCAAAACAAAACAAAAAAACAAAAACAAAAGACATTGACCATGTTCTGACAGAGACCGTGGAGCCAAAAAATGTTTTATCAACAGCACTCAATCCCTGAGAAGGGCAGTTTTCCCAAGGGAACTGTACAGTGTGTGTGTGTGTGTCTCTCTCTCTCATTAATCTCTACCAACAAGGCCATACTGTAAATGTAAACATAGAGGATTCTTAAAAACTATTATAATCACCCTTTACCCCACCTCCACCCCCTCCCCCACATATGATGAGGACCTCCCCTCTTGCATGTTAATTTTGCCTAAGGTGAAAAATACCCACTTTCCCATCCCTGGGAAACACTGCTTTGGGAATGCTCTCCTATTTGCTGCAAAGAAATTACATTGTATGACAGCTTCTCTCAGTGGAGGTTCGGATTTCTGCTTACCAAAAACTGGACTTACAATTTGTTGGGGGGGTGGGGTGGACACCAGCCTTCCTGCACCTTAAGGAGAGCTGGAAAGAGTACATGACGTACGAGAACGCACTACTCAAGGCTTCTTCTGGTCTAAGCAAGCCTGTGCCTTGGTGAGCCAGGGGTTATCGGGAAGCAGGCAGTCTGGACCCCTGCTCTCGTCAGGGAAGCAATCCCAGAAGAGATGCAGGTAAGCCAGAGGACTCCTCATCCTTTTTTTTTTTTTTTTTTTTTTTTTTAATGCATTTGGTTTTCATTTTAATGAGAGAGAGAGAGAGAAAGAGAGAGAGAGAGATGACAGTGCATTCCTATCTACTTGTTCATTCCCGAATGCCTGTAATGGGCAGGGCTGGGCCAAGGCCAAAGCCAGTAGCTGGAAATTTAATCCAGGTCTGCAACAGGAATAGCAGGAATCCTATGACTTGTGTCGTATTGCTGCCTCTCAAGGTGTGCATTGGCAGGAAGCTGGAGTCAACAACTAGAGCCAGCAGTTGAACCTAGGTATTCCAAGGTATAACATGGGCATATTAACTGTTAGGCTAGGCCGGCGCCGTGGCTCACTAGGCTAATCCTCCACCTGTGGCACCGGCACTCCCGGTTCTAGTCCCGGTTGGGGCGCCGGATTCTGTCCTGGTTGCTCCTCTTCCAGTCCAGCTCTCTGCTGTGGCCTGGGAGTGCAGTGGAGGCT